GGGGATAGATGTTTGAGGCAGAGGAAAAGGAGGTTGTAGGAGAGGGTGTAGAAGGTGAAGATGGAGTAGAACGTTTAAGTTGTCTTGTGTGACGGGAAAAGTGAGAAGTGGTAGAAATTGGAGTACCTGGATTTAGAATGGAAAAAGAATTTGACTGGGGGATTGGGAGAATAGAAGTAGGATGGTTCAGGGGGTAGTAGTACGTGTTCAGAGTCATGGTCAAAGAGGAGGCTGGGGTCGGGGAACTGGAAGAATTGAAGTCACTGGGGCTATTTGATAAAGGAGAGAAACTGTCCACCCCTCAGATAAGGGCTTAGCCTCTAGGCTAGTGCAATAGTAACGTGTCAGCCTCTCATCCAAAGGGTCGGCGGTTTGCGGCCCGCCCAGGTGTGAAAAGTTGCAATTGTCGGCTGGAGGTTACTGCTGTGCCTGGGCACCACAGTGGGCAAGGACTAAGTTCTATCACGTCAGCACTAGCCGACACACTTTGATCGAGTCGACAATAGTCGGCACAGGCCAGGCTCCCCTCACAGCCCGGGCGAGGCTCAGCTTTGCATGTCGGACTTATCCTTAGGTAAGGGCTGAACAACTAAACGGGAATAACATGCCCATGGTTCCCCTAGGCTGTTCATGACTGGCACAAAGTTAGCCTCACACCTTAGGAAGTGGATAGCAGGAAGGGTTGAAGAAGAAAAGAAAATGGAAGGGAAAAAAAGATGATGCAAAATTAGTGGAATCAAAGGCTGAGGCCCAAGGTAAGGGTAGGGAAACCAAGAGATCTAAACCTTTGAAAATTTAGTAAACACAATGTTATAAAGTTTTCTCTTGTTTATTTAATAAAAGGTAAACAGTATTTAGCATTCCCTTCTTTATACATTATGGGTTTAAAATCACAAATAAAAATGCAGTAAAAATAAAAAAAAATTTATTCATATGTATTGTAGTTCTTCAATGCACATCACATGGGAGAATATAATCATTTATTAGGGATTATCTTGGAGCTGACTATTTATACAGACAAAAACTTTTAAAATTCTTGTAAGGATACAAATAACCATAATCAAGAAATGGAAAATAATAAAGAGAAGAGCCACCAGATGCCGATCTTTAATCTTTATTAGCTGGTCTCTTTGACATTTTTTTTCTGGTTTAGGAAAAGAAAAAAATAAATGTGAAATATGAGCTACACATCTTTTGTACTGTACACATCATCCCAGTGGTCAAGAATTTCGTGAATGCCGTGCCGCCCTTTGTTGTAGTCATGATAAAGATTCATACAATATGATAAAACCTTCAAAGATCAGACACATGTGAACTTTCCATTTTCATCCTGTGCTGAGACTACCATATCTGAAAGCTTTTCTATTTCTTTACTTGCCATCCATCACTGCCAGAAAATCATCCTGTCATGATGGTAAACCTATCCTATCTCCCATGCCAGGTACATCCTAGACGAGAACATTAAAAAAAAGAGTTTGATGAAGACAAAGGAATTTGTTTTGGAGGATGTCACATTTCGGAGACTGGTTTGTTTCCATTGCAAATATTCTCATCTGATTACTGATTCAAAAATTACTAAATAGCAATATAATGTATGACACATGCATGCAAACATGCACTTCCACATCCTTACATGTAAGTTCTAGACACAGGTTCAAAACCTCGGTGAAAACAATAAATCTCCCTATGTTGGTTTTCTATTCTCTTAGTCTTGCTTGTAAAATTAAGCAGCACAAAAATGAAAAACAGAAAAAGAAAACGAAACATCTTGAAGTTCACAGAAGATAACTGTACCCAGGAAAAAAAAAAAATAAATAAATAAAATACAGTGGCATGGGAAACAAAAACCTAGTTTCATTCTGAAATTCATCTTAACGTAAATGGCTGACTACATTTCAGTCAGTTTGACCATACGAAATGTAATATCATCTATTTTCCATATATTGGCTAGTATCACTTATTGTACCAATAGTGGAAAAAAAGAAAAAAGAAGTAAAGCAAAAGACAAGAACATGAAAGAGAGCACTTTCTAAACTTCATTTAAAGAATTTTACAGATTCTCACAGATCCTATGAAAATTACAGGAGTTTTCTCATATACTGCATCCAATTTAATGGATAATCTACTTTAAACAATTATCTTCTTATATTGTCTATAAATTAATGGACAATCTACTTCTCCTTTACGAACCAAAGAACTACAGGAAAATACTAAATGTCCTCTTCCTGCTAGAATTCTTTTGCTTTATCAGAGCCTTTTCCTCTTTAGGAATATTTGTACAATATTTATAATGAAAAGTTACTAAAATACCAGTAGATTACATCACAAAGTGACAGAGCATCAAGTATGTCACAAGTATATATATAAAAAATGGCATTTCAAGAGAATGTATGTAGTCTGCAAAAAAATAAATTTCTGCACACAATTTCCACCAAATTTTACTGCCTACAGCTGTAGATAATTACATATGTAGATATTGACAAGAAGTCAGAATATTTTCAGGAACTCTTTCCCAATTGCTCAACAAAGTCTGCACAGTTTTTCAAACTACATGCTTGGATTCTTTTCATTTTCCTCTGAATATTTTCATACACAATATATCAACATTAATCATAAGAAAATCTTTACTTATCTGCTTTCCCCCCAAATCAGTGTTTCAAGATGGAAAGTGACCAACATAATGCGTTAGGCTTTCAATCCACTTCCAACACTGCCAGAAGACTGAAACAGAACCATCTGATACAAGCCACTGAGATACTTCAATATCTGTAATGATTCATGAGTAGTTTGGTTGAATGGGATACACTGCAGCTGATACTTAGTCATGTGTTCAAAATGACCCTCAGTCTCTAGACAGTGCAGGCAACATTACTCAGTATGAACAACGTAAATGATTTAGGACAGTCAGTTTGTAACACCTGAGTCTTGGTGATTTTTTCTGCTTTCTTTAAAGTAGCTTCACTGAAAAAGAATCAAGACTTCTGAAGAAGTGGATATATACATATATATACTTTTCTGCACAAATCTGCACATCTGATAATAAAATGGAGGGAAAGAAAGTTTTCAAATAATTTTCTAAAGATAATGCATTCACATTTCATGTTTGCAAAAAATTGCAATGACCTATGACAATCAAGGACCCTGGATGAATAATGGACTATGCTTCATGTACAGATGACAGTAAAAGATGAGTCACTTCTGGTGAAGCTTCACCTCAGTGCACCAAACTGACTCATAAGGAGTTCATGTCACATTGTTTCCCAGTGACACCTAAAACAACCTGAGGAGTGTTCTTGGTATAAAAATGGCTAGAACTGTACTGCTGTAGACAGGATGTATTCTTCTGAGAGCAAATGTAAGACTTTTCCAGTCTGATTCAACACCGCACAAGAAATACATTTCGTTAATAAGTAAACTTGAAACACATAAGCGACCTTAGCAAATACCTCAAGAAAGCCTCCTTTCCAAATCTCATATTTTGTGTGTGGGGGAAAACCTACAAATTTCAATTCTACCAAGTTTTGATATACCAAGTATGCACTCCAAGGTCATCTAACATGGAAATGAGTGTTGATGGGAACATGCCCACATACATACAACCAAGCACACACAAACACATACATCCATGTGAGTACATGTGTACATACATACAATTACAGGCCAACAATTTGCCCTAGGCCTGAACCTTTGATTATTCGTACCTGCTATATACAGATTCAACTGGTCAGGATAGGCTAGAAGGGTCTTTTTCATGTGGAAATCATTTCAAAAATGCACATTTTCATGTCTATTCTCTCACTGTGAGAATTTAGAAACAACTGTGCTTACACCATTCTACGATGCACACTGAAATATTTCAACTACATATCCTAAGCATGTCATTAATATAGGTAGGAAAGAATCCATGTAGTTCACTCATCATAAAAAGACAGTAACATGTGAGCAAGTAAATGTTTTAATATTTCAGTTGTCACCAAAATAACCTTTACGAATATCTGTGACATCTATATTCCCCCCAATAATTACTTATGATGGGTCCTCTGATAGCAATAATTCCTAAAATGGTTTTACTGACTTTCTAATAAAATAAGGACTGATAAAAATAGTAATAACAAAAATAATACTAAAATATAAAAAATAATAGCTATGATAATTGAAAATATACTAAAAGAGAAGAAAACAAAGTTAAAAAGAGGAAAAAAATTATAACAATGATAATAATAAGAATTATCAAAAGCAATTTCAACAATAAACAGAATGGGGAAAAACGTAATAAGATGTTCATATGATAACCAAATTAATGAAAATATTCATACTAACAATAAAAATACAAATAATATTGATAGTCAAAATCATTAAATTATTAACATAAACATGAAAAAAATAAATAAAATAAAAAATAATGAATCATACCATGCCCATAAGTCTCGTAGCACCTTGTGCCAAAACAGCAAGTGTAGGTTCTAAAGTTGATTCACAGTATGATAGTGACAGATATCCTACACAGCAATACTGCAACTTTTCTAAAGAAAAATCCTAAAGGAAGTAGTCTGCTTGAGGCTTCTTTGCTGGTATGCCTCGACTCTCCTGCGGTGCTGCCTCAAATATTGTGAAGTCCCGTTTCAGATTTTCATCCAGTTCTAAAATAGCTGCAACATTACCACATCTGGGAAAAGAAAAGAACCACATTAATGAGGTCTATGTATGGATATAATAACTCTTTTGGACCCAAATTACAATGCATTCTTTGGTCTGGTACAGTATCTTTGCTTTCCCAGAGTAAATCAAACTGTGATTATATCATATAGATTACACATTAATTCCTTGGGGTCTGAGCATTTATGGAGCCATCTATGTGTAGATACATTCCACAAAACAATACTATAGTGAACATCACAAATTCCCAGCAGCACTGGATTGAATTTTCTGATAAACTAACCTGTAACAATAGTTGGGTGCTGACCAAACGGTTAGAACTGTGTTGTTAAAATGCCATTTGTATCCTTCCATGACCAGCTGATGTGCTCGGCATATCATGTCTATGCCATTTGTGTCGTTAAATTGTGCTACAACATCTGAACCAAAGAGATAGCCTGCTCCTCGTGGACTCACCCCCCAGCCTTGAGTATCTGAAAAATATGTAACAACAAATTAACCCCTGTTGTCTCCTTTGCCACAATCATGGACAGCCTGTCATAAAGTGGAACGATTTTCTTTTACTACTCTTTTTATTATGAATCAGCCACAACCATAATTATTACCCCCACATACCTTCACTTCCCCCAAAGTCCCTCCCCTAATTGAGCAAATGACAGTTGTGTTTTCCCATATTTATCTTCTTGTGAATGAGAAAAGAATGTGTCAAATGGTACTTCTTATGCTGAATGGCATATTTCATCCAGCCAAAGTCTAGATCTTTTCCTCCTCCTATATAGAAATATACTATTATGTATCACATTACCTCTTAGTATATACATCAAAATACACAATTTTTAGCTTTCCATGATAAAGATACGTTTTATTTACATATTCATAGATAATTTATCCCCTATATCATTTCCATGTAAGGAATAACTGATAATTTTTTCAACTGTGAATTCTACTTGCCTTAGGTAAATTTGGAAAAAATCATGTCCTATTTTCAGAAAAGGGGACCAGCCAGCCAAGCTGGTTATCAGTTTTGGGTTAAGTAAATGTTACTGATATTGAGTAAGATCACATCAATATTTTGGAAGACTTAGTAGTAACATTTGCATGTTGCAGAGAGGCTATATACAACTGACAAAAACTGAAAATGTATTCTGCTTGTAATTATTTCATCATAAAAGAACTACAAACGAGTCAAGTACATAGCTGGTCACAGTTGTCATAAAAATATTTCTTCAGTTATTAACATTCTTAAAAATAAAACTAGTACTTGTTACCTATTCACAATTAACCCATTCGTGCTGGGTGTCACATATATGAGACACCGGGAAAAATAAACATATGCTGGGCACCAGTTGATCAGAAAAGCAAATTAATATTTTCCAAATTTACATTCAATCTTTAAGCCAGGCAGCTTTGATAACCAACATATTTTTCATATCTGAATTGGTAGCATTGGAACTGTCCTGTTTCTACTATTGTCAAGTTGGCCACTGTAATTCAAAATAGACTGGTATGGTTGCCACTTCAGAAAGAATACAAACATTCATGTCTTTTACTAATATCTTTTAGAAAATATGTTTTCAAGTGAAGTACCTTTCTTTCTAACTTAAAATATGAAAGGGAAATAAGCCTTACCAAAAAGTGTTGAGTGTGCAATGTGCCAGGACGAAATCCCTCACCCAGTATATATTAAACTGATTTAAAATGAAGTGTTCTGCCATAATTTCTAATTCATATATACACTATGTCTACATCATTTCTCTCTTATTCTGTTGCAATAATTCCTGTTACTTAAACCCTGATCACCATATGTAATAGTAACTTGTCTGTGAAGTTGTGTATTATAAATACTTAAAAGTAAATTGTTACAACATACGATTATTTCTTTTAGCTCATCAAGAATGCAATCAGTTAGTTGGGGCTCAAAGGACATATAACACCTAAAAGTGAATAAACAGGCAATTTCCTCTGTAAATTTTTAGTACTTTTGGGAAATAGGTACAAGAGTTTCATTCTGATATATGGTTATTACTATATCAGATACCACATATTTTTTTCTATTCTAATCTATTAAAACTTCCTATTCATTCTATTAACATTGTCTCCTGAAAAGGAAACTTACCCTCGGGGTCAGACCATAAGAGATCACACATGGGGCCATCATGGGGGACTTCCTGCTTGCGGTCAATAGTACGTATCTGATCTAGTGTTTGAATGCTTGGTGATAAACCTCCGTGTACGCAAAAAATCTATGGAAAAAGAATACGGACAATGCTAAATTAGAAAAATATTCACTGACACAATATATAATTTTCTGAGTTTCCCAAGTTCCACTTCCAAACTCATATCTTCATTGTGAAATGTCAAAGTCAATCACAACAGCTATACAATTTTTCAAAAGTTGTGCAGTAGAGAGCTAGCAATGTAATGGTTACAAAGCCAACTGAAAACATGGAATACTACAACATTACTCTGGGAGATGTTTAGAGCACATTACTTCTAAGGGAATGTTCAACACACTTTCCTCTTCTAAATCTAAAATATTCTCATCACTGCAAACAGGCAGTGACACTAAATATTCCAGACATCATTGAAAATTAAAGCCTGCAAAATTCCAAGTAATGTGTGGTTACTTTCTCCTGTCACTGAACTTTCTCTCATCAAGCTTCTCATCTGGAAACCCTCTTCAGCAAGTTCACAAACTTCTTACCTTTCCATCAATAATAGCAGACAGTGATAGGTAGTCAAAAATTTCTGTGCAGTATCGCCATACTGTGATGGTTCCATATTTTCTTAAACACTCATCATAGAAACCGTATACTTGAGTAATTTGTCGTGACTCATGATTGC